ACGTAAGTCAATACGTATACTGTGACGGTGATGCAGGGTGTGTGAGAACACATTAAAGAAGAGAAGAACTAAATAATATATATATATATATATATATATATATATATATATATATATAACACTTTAAAATGTTTGTCAACCACTTTTTAAAGCAATGAGCAAAAATGGAAACTCAAGTGTGATAAAAGCCAAGTGACAAGCTAACAGATGTGTTAGAACTTTTGTAAGCCATTAAGAACCACTTTGAAGACTTTGAAAAGGGCAGAAAACAAGGCAATTTCAAGCCAATGATATGCGTTTCAAAGCCCATCAGCGCAATCAAGATGCAGTCCCTTTCGCATTTACCGTGTTAGGAACAGTTCAGCGCAGGCTTACGGAACAGTGTTTATGATACCATTTAAGGAGTGCCTACTATACACCAGGCTCTGGACTGGCTAGGAATTTCGCACCTGCCATTTCATTCATTCATCAACATTCCAATCTCAAGAATGGGTATGCGCCTGGAATGTGACGATGACTGTTTTCAGCACATTTTTTAAAAGAGAAAAAACATAAATATTTTAGCATCATATTTAGTTATTGGCCATGAGGGGTAAGGATTTCAGGCACACAGACTGCCAGTTATTCAGGGATGGAGCCTAGAAAATGGATATCTCCACATCGCCCCAGCTTTCCATAAGAGAAAAACAAATGATTTTCCCTATGGAAGAGAAAACACACACTGTCAGGTTCCACAGCGTGATGACCCGTTCTCAGCACAACACTTCAGGATACTCCAAATTTCATATCCCGCCAACAAACCTAACTTCCAGTTCCTGTGGGAATCTGTTTCAAGTTACAAACAGATGAATTAAAATTTTTGGAACAAAACTATCTGACTCCGAGTGACTAAAATCGCTTATTCGCAGAAAACTTCATGAACTTTTCACTTCATCAGATGTTCTGACTTATCTGAAGATACAGAATCAAACTAGCTATTCATCATTCTGAATGTTTAATTAAGATGGGAACTTAGAGTCAACTCAATAGTGCACTGGTCTGATTTTTTTTTAAACTTAACTAGATGGTTCTGTGACAAAAAGTTTCCCAGTCAAGGCTGGTTACCAGCCTAGCTACAGAGAAATTATTTTTAAAATGCCACAAGCTAGAAAGCAAGCAAAACATTTAAAAATGTTTTTATTATTATTTTTCAGTCTTCTTTACTGATGGAGAAGAACAGCAGGTATCTAAGAGGGGTTTGCTGTCATAGCAAACTGTGGCACTAACTGACTCGAGCTGAAACTTTAAAGGAAGAATACTAAAAACCACTAATAAAACCTCCAAATAAATTTCAGGAGCCACTGTGATGCTATGCTGACCGGGCAGCAGATTTTAAGAAGGATGAGGAGAACTGAGAAGAGGTTCCAAGAAGTCTTACAAAGGCAACCAAAGGGGCAAAAAAAAAAACCTCTGGGAAAGAATAAAATGGAACGACTTCAAAAGGATGGTTTTAATGACCTCCTACAAGTGCAGGGTACACGGGCACCCGGAATAGAGAAATCAAAACTTCTGACCTTTAAATACGACACAATTGAACACATTATCTGGAGTACAGTGGACACCCAAAAAAAGACTCTGAAGAATGACAACCACCTGTCTTGAGTAGTAAGACTTAAGAAATATCACTTATGTAATAAGGTGTGTTTGTCACACAGCCTGGAAGTAATTCATTTATGTGATCCACATGCAAACTTCCCTTCAGTCACAAGGGAAAGCAAGTCAGGTCATCCTTTACCTTCCTGCTCCCTGGAAAACAACAGAAGTCTGCATTTTTTTTTTGTCTTGAATATTTCAGAGACAGAAGAACAGAGGCCTTAATGTTCCGGTACAGCTCATGAGAAGATAAATCAGGAGCAGTGTCTACTTACTTGATTCTGTCCTTTTAACTCCGTGCATATAACATTTACTGCATATCTATCAAGTGTCACATAACACCCTGCATGCTGGGACAACAAGGATGAAGACGGAAAGCTTCCCTCCCTGGAAGAATTTCTATTTTTAAATGTTCCTTAACTTCCAGATTTGAATCGGCAGATCAAAGAAATGAAATGCAAATATCTCCACACTCCGAATACAGTTT